TATATATATATATATATATATATATATATATATATATATATATATATATATATATATATATATATATATATATATAAATATAATATATATATATATATATATATATATATATATATATATATATATATATATATATATATATATATATACATACATACATACATACATACATATATATATATATATATATATATATATATATATATATATATATATATATATATATATATATAAAGAAAAAAGACTCTGGATCAGAATTTAGTTTAAAAAACTATAGATATAAGAAAGGACAATATATCTACTTATACTATAAACCAGTCAAAAAATACTTCGAAAGCAAACAACCAAAATTTTAGTCTTATAATACTAATCATATATTTTTGGGAAAACACATTTCCCATATGCTCAGTAAAAGTTATTGTTTCTGTTGTAATAAGCTTGAAAGGTATGCTTATCAGAAAAGACAGACAAATAATGTAATGTTGCTATATTGACTGAATACCGTCCGTTATTTTTTTTTACTCGGCCTATTCGTTTTGTTTTTACCTCTCTTTGTGCTTCTAATGGATATTTACATTTTACTTATCCCATATTCTATTCCCTATCTTCTACTCTAAATAGCTTTTAAAAAATGTAGTTATATAAGGTAAACCTACATGTTTTTTATGATTAGTACACAATAACTTTCATATCTATCCATCTATACATATCAGAGAGAGAGAGAGAGAGAGAGAGAGAGAGAGAGAGAGAGAGAGAGAGAGAGAGAGAGAGAGAGAGAGAGAGAGAGAGAGAGAGAGAGAGAGAGAGAGAGAGAGAAAGAGAGAGAAAGAAAGAGAGAGAGAAAGGAAGAGAGAGAGAAAGAAAAAGAGAAAGAGAAAGAGAAAGAGAAAGAGAGAGAGAAGGCGAGAGAGAGAAGGAGAGAGAGAGAGAGAGAGAGAGAGAGAGAGAGAGAGAGAGAGAGAGAGAGAGAGAGAGAGAGAGAGAGAGAGAGAGAGAGAGAGAGAGAGAGAGAGAGAGAGAGAGAGAAGAGAGAGAAGAGAGAGAAAGAGAGAGAAAATACAGAGCAAATATAAGAGAGAATGTAAAAAAGAAAGGAGGGGAGACAGAAGATATAGGTAAATAGATGAGAGAAAAAAAACACAAGAGCTGAGAGATACAAGAATGCAGAAAAAAAATACCCACTCAGAAACAGACACACAGATGCATGCACACACACATAAAGGCATACACACAAACTTATCTTCACACTATCAAATGCAAATATTCATACACACAAAAATAGAAGATATATACAAATAAAAACACACATACACACTCATACTCAACCTCACATACAATACACACAAACAACAAGCACACTATGATCAATAACACACAAAATCACACGGACAAATGTACAAATTTCCCTATGCACTGTGGCATTAAAATGAATAACAAAAAAGGTTTAATTGTTTTCTGGCTTGCTCTTGCGTGAAGCTGCATGAGCTTGTCATTTCCCCAATGCCAATAAAATTTGCAATTCATAATAGGCTTTTTGCATGCAACAGACATTATCATCTGCAAGCAATGCTTAGAGGAGGCCAATCTGAATCTTGTGGATGACCTTCTGGGATCTTAAAATATAAAAATCAATCAACAACAAATCAATCAAAAGATGACCAAGAAGTAGACCAAAAAAAAGAAAAAAGAAAAAAAAAAAGGAAAATGTACAAAAAGTACCAAAAATGGCATATATAAAAAACTCAAAAATTTATCAAAATTGAAAAAGAAAAGAAAAATATTGCAGGAAGGGAAAAAAATCTTACTGCACGAGGGTGGGGCTGTCATAAGGACGACCGCTAAGGGCGAGAGCGACAGAAGTTATGAATCCAGTACCACACCCGGGCTAGGCTGGAGGGGGAGGGGGAGGGGGATGCTGTGGGGGGCGTGGATAAGGAGGAGAGAGGGGAGCAAAGTGATGTAAGGAAGAGAGGGGAGTGAAAGAAGGCAGGACTCGACATGAGGTGAGCCCGTGGGGTTATGTATTAGGAAGAGGGTGGGGGTAGAAGGAAGGATGAAGGAGGGTGGAAGGAGGATGAACATGATGAAGAGAAAGAAAGGGGTAGATATAAAAGGGGAGGATGAAGGAAGGGGGGAAAGAAGAGCTATGGGGGCCAAAGCGAGGGAGGAGGAGGGAGAAGGGGGAGGAGTATGTTAGCCCAGGTTGGGGGTCGTCGATGAGGGAAAAACACCATAAGACCTGGATTTTTACTGTTATATGGAAAATGCGATCATAAATTCATCTGAACAGGTGCAGAGCCAATAGGAATTGTAATGGGGTGAAAGATTAGCACAATTTTAAGTTTGTAAGACATAGAACAAACTGGAAAAATCTTCTGAAGATTCAGTAGCCCTATAGAGTAAGTACAAAAAAAATATTCAAAAGCAAGAGGAGATAGACTGAAATATTCATGGAGGGGAAGTTGTGGTACCAGATTCTTAATTTCTTAAGGAATACACCACAGCACATAAAACCCACTGAAAGGAATGTATAAACAAACATTATCCAGGAATAACATGACGATGAAAAGGATAGAGTGCGAGTCATTTTAAAACACCAGATTATATAAAAGAGAATATAAAGAGAAACCATAATTCCAATAACAGGATACAAATACACTGACTGAGAAAGACGAGGCTGAGGAAGAGGTGGAACAGGAAAAAGGAAGGGAATAGAAATAGGGAGCCAAGGATCAGAAAAGATGCTGTGGGGGGTGTGGATAAGGAGGAGAGAGGGGAGCAAAGTGATGTAAGGAAGAGAGGGGAGTGAAAGAAGGCAGGACTCGACATGAGGTGAGCCCGTGGAGTTATGTATTAGGAAGAGGGTGGGGGTAGAAGGAAGGCTGAAGGAGGGTGGAAGGAGGATGAACATGATGAAGAGAAAGAAAGAGGTAGATATAAAAGGGGAGGATGAAGGAAGGGGGGAAAGAAGAGCTATGGGGGCCAAAGCGAGGGAGGAGGAGGGAGAAGGGGGAGGAGTATGTTAGCCCAGGTTGGGGGTCGTCGATGAGGGAAAAACACCATAAGACCTGGATTTTTACTGTTATATGGAAAATGCGATCATAAATTCATCTGAACAGGTGCAGAGCCAATAGGAATTGTAATGGGGTGAAAGATTAGCACAATTTTAAGTTTGTAAGACATAGAACAAACTGGAAAAATCTTCTGAAGATTCAGTGGCCCTATACAGTAAGTACAAAAAAAATATTCAAAAGCAAGAGGAGATAGACTGAAATATTCATGGAGGGGAAGTTGTGGTACCAGATTCTTAATTTCTTAAGGAATACACCACAGCACATAAAACCCACTGAAAGGAATGTATAAACAAACATTATCCAGGAATAACATGACGATGAAAAGGATAGAGTGCGAGTCATTTTAAAACACCAGAGATATATAAAAGAGAATATAAAGAGAACCATAATTCCAATAACAGGATACAAATACACTGACTGAGAAAGACGAGGCTGAGGAAGAGGTGGAACAGGAAAAAGGAAGTGAATAGAAATAGGGAGACAAGGATCAGAAAAGTCAAAGAAATACCAAAATCAGACCAAAAAGAAAAAAAGAAAACAAAAGAAATGAAAAACAGAAATTGAACTGGTTGGTACAATACACTGGTTCATTTGTAATACACACAGAAATAACACAGCAGTTCTCAGTTGACTAGAGGTTTCCTAATGCAACCTTGCACAACAAAAAGGGAGGAAAGAAGCTCCATATTTCGATGTTGTGATAGGCTCTATTCAAAATAACAATCTCTTCATAAATGGGATACTAGAGCAAAAACAATAATTTTGACATAGCCAAACACCAATGAGTTTTGTTGATTCAGAATGTGCTCCTATATTTAAAGTGTGTATTTCTAGCAACCAATAATAAAATCCATTAACCGTTTTCATACCATCATCCTCTACACACTGCAAATATCCAAAATATATGTATATAATCTTATTTTCTCTAATCTTTAAAATCAGTGTTTAAAAAATGACACTAAACATGTCACTCCAGGCTTTAAAAGAAACTACCTTAAATCATTATCAATAACAGGTTTCTGAAAAATGTTGTATCATCATGAGTAACAATTCCTAGCAAAAACAATAGTTTAAAAAGTTATCCTAATTAGTGATGCATCTGTGGAACTTGTACTAGGCAAAGGTAATGCTATTTACAGACACAATGCAATATGCTTCTGAAAACTTCTATTTGGAATGCAAAAACTTGGATCATAAGTAATGTAAAAAAAAAGAAAGTTCTTAATTATGGAAATAGAAAGGGAGAAAAATATTTATATGATATACAAATTTTAAAAAATTGATCTCATTTCTATTAAATCTGGCAACTTTACAATCTAGTTAAAATAATTAAATATATAAATGTAAAACAATACTAATATAAAAGACAAGAGATGAGCTAGAATTAATTCTTCATCTCTTTAGTTAGATAATGAGTATCACAAATGTCTATTACAAGTCTTACTACTACACTACATCAAAAAATTTATCAAACTATACTATATATACAAACATTGTTAATCTAACCTTCTCTAAATATAACATACAACTATATAGTACCCACCTACAACTCACTATCTGAACAGAGTTCATTGTGTCAAATGTAGGAAAAGATATGAATAAGAATGAATAACTTCACAGTGCACAAGATGTAATTTACACATTTTGATTATATCTTCATTTATCTCTGATGCAGATATAATCTAAAATGTACCAAGTACATCTTTTGCACCATGAAGTTATTCATTCTCATTTATACCTTTTTAACTCCTCTATAAATCAAAACCTTATATCAAAATTATCCACCACTTCTACTCAAAAAATAAGTGAATAAAAAAAGTATATACCAAGTGTCACTGTCACTGTATAACACGTGGGTATATTAGGGACTCTCTAGGTGGGTCTGGGTGGATAAAGAAGGGAGAGAGTGACAGGTCTGATACCTACTTGACCAACGTGAAGGCATCGTCGAGCAGTGAAGCCCTGTCGGCCGGGGAGAGTGTATGGGGCTCAGTCTGCAGCACATGGATGAGGGCATCCCAACCCCCCTCGTCGTAGGTGACCCGATAGAAGCCTCGTTGCCCAACATTGAACTTGATCCATTTGACCTCCTTCCCCACTTCGAATTCCACTGCACAGAAGAAAAAATTAGGTTTTGGGGAATCTCTGTATTTATTTTTCCTATTAAAAGGAAATACACAACTTGGTTTAAGTAAGGAAAAAAAAATAAAGAATGAATTTGTTACGTAGGAATAATTATGTATCATGTGGAATTTTGCTTTACATAATTAGTTCCATCATTGAGGGAAAAAAAAATACAAAAAATAATAAATAAATAAATAAAAATGTATTTGAAACCACTCTTACTTCAAATACAACCAAAACACTATACTGAGTCACATGTCAAATTAAGAATAATATTTACATCTGAGAAAACCATAACAAACAATCTCAATAGATATATGTATCTAAGATATCTGAATCTGAAGGCAAAAAAATTACCTCAAAATTATACCGTGCCTACAATAATAATAATGATCATAATCATGAAAATAACAATTGTAACATTAATGATAATAACAATAACAATAAAAAACAATGAAAGTAATAACAATAATAATAATGATCATAATCATGAAAATAACAATTGTAACATTAATGATAATAACAATAACAATAAAAAACAATGAAAGTAATAACAATAATAATGAAAAGAATAACAATAACAATAAAAAACAATGAAAGTAATAACAATAATAATAATGATCATAATCATGAAAATAACAATTGTAACATTAATGATAATAACAATAACAATAAAAAACAATGAAAGTAATAACAATAATAATAATGATCATAATCATGAAAATAACAATTGTAACATTAATGATAATAACAATAACAATAAAAAACAATGAAAGTAATAACAATAATAATAATGATCATAATCATGAAAATAACAATTGTAACATTAATGATAATAACAATAACAATAAAAAAAATATGATAATAATAACAATAATAATAATGATCATAATCATGAAAATAACAATTGTAACATTAATGATAATAACAATAACAATAAAAAACAATGAAAGTAATAACAATAATAATAATGATCATAATCATGAAAATAACAATTGTAACATTAATGATAATAACAATAACAATAAAAAACAATGAAAGTAATAACAATAATAATAATGATCATAATCATGAAAATAACAATTGTAACATTAATGATAATAACAATAACAATAAAAAACAATGAAAGTAATAACAATAATAATAATGATCATAATCATGAAAATAACAATTGTAACATTAATGATAATAACAATAACAATAATAATAATGATCATAATCATGAAAATAACAATTGTAACATTAATGATAATAACAATAACAATAAAAAACAATGAAAGTAATAACAATAATAATAATGATCATAATCATGAAAATAACAATTGTAACATTAATGATAATAACAATAACAATAAAAAACAATGAAAGTAATAACAATAATAATAATGATCATAATCATGAAAATAACAATTGTAACATTAATGATAATAACAATAACAATAAAAAACAATGAAAGTAATAACAATAATAATAATGATCATAATCATGAAAATAACAATTGTAACATTAATGATAATAACAATAACAATAAAAAACAATGAAAGTAATAACAATAATAATAATGATCATAATCATGAAAATAACAATTGTAACATTAATGATAATAACAATAACAATAAAAAACAATGAAAGTAATAACAATAATAATAATGATCATAATCATGAAAATAACAATTGTAACATTAATGATAATAACAATAACAATAAAAAACAATGAAAGTAATAACAATAATAATAATGATCATAATCATGAAAATAACAATTGTAACATTAATGATAATAACAATAACAATAAAAAACAATGAAAGTAATAACAATAATAATAATGATCATAATCATGAAAATAACAATTGTAACATTAATGATAATAACAATAACAATAAAAAACAATGAAAGTAATAACAATAATAATAATGATCATAATCATGAAAATAACAATTGTAACATTAATGATAATAACAATAACAATAAAAAACAATGAAAGTAATAACAATAATAATAATGATCATAATCATGAAAATAACAATTGTAACATTAATGATAATAACAATAACAATAAAAAACAATGAAAGTAATAACAATAATAATAATGATCATAATCATGAAAATAACAATTGTAACATTAATGATAATAACAATAATAAAAAAAAAAATATGATAATAATAACAATAATAATAATGATCATAATCATGAAAATAACAATTGTAACATTAATGATAATAACAATAACAATAATGATGATAATAATAATAATGATAATAAACAATAGCAATAATAAACTATCAATGATAATGATAGTGATAACAATAACAATAAAAAACAATGAAAGTAATAACAATAATAATGAAAAGAATAACAATAACAAAAACAACTTCAATTTTAATATTAATAAAGTAACTATTTTTTTGTTGTTGTTGCTATAAAAAGCCTATGAATAGTAGAAGTAACATTTGTAACAATACCATCGTCAATACCACCAGCAATAATTAAACCACACCAATCATCCCTATTCATCATATCTTGAACAAACACAGAAAAAAAGAAAGACAGAAGGGAGAGTGAGAGGCATATCCTACCTTGATATCGAGATTATGACCAGATTTCTTGAGTACCCTGGTCAAGGCTTCCCACAAGTCATCTGTTGCTGCATTACCGTACCTGTGGGCCTCGAGGTAGAGCCTCAATCCTGCCTTCAGCATGTCCTGCCCTATGAAGGACTCAAGCATGCCAATAATTGATGCACCCTGCGAAGGAGAAAGATTTAGAACAGATGTGAATGAAAATGAATCCTCAGACAATACAGCAGATGTGATTATGATTATGGCCAGATTTCTTGAGTACCCTGGTCAAGGCTTCCCACAAGTCATCTGTTGCTGCATTACCGTACCTGTGGGCCTCGAGGTAGAGCCTCAATCCTGCCTTCAGCATGTCCTGCCCTATGAAGGACTCAAGCATGCCAATAATTGATGCACCCTGCGAAGGAGAAAGATTTAGAACAGATATGAATGAAAATGAATCCTCAGACAATACAGCAGATGTGATTGAACTTGTTGAGGTCTTACACAACACGAAAAAATAAAAAAAGTAACATTAATTTCCTGCAGCATTTATTAACAATACATATAATAATAGTAAACATGATGATTAAAAAAGTGAAAAATAGCTATAACAATATTGATAACAATAAACAAAAAGGAAGAAGGTCCACCTTTTTGTAGGAAATTGTGTCAAATATGGATTCAATCTGTGCAGGGTCGGCCACAGGGGTTGAGATCGGGTGGGAGGCCAGGAGTGCATCTAGGGAAAGGGCTGGCTGCATCTTCTCCACGATGAACTGCTCCTGCATGGCCCAGCCTGGCTCAGCAACACCTGTTCCCAGGTTTTCCATGAAGCTTGCAAAACCCTCATTAAGCCATAGGTCGCTCCACCTGCAGAAGATACTTTGACTCAGAGGAAAGGAAGAAGGAATTTAAGATATATAGTAACAGGTAATTCCCATTTTTTTTTTCTCTTTTTCTTTTGATAGGCATTTACATATTTATCTATTAAAGATTATTTCTCAAATAAAAAAAGTCTTTAACCTTTAAAAAACAGCTAACATTCTATAGTGTATTTCTGCTTAAGGGGGATTAAGGTAACAGTGCATGGCCTTCATAATCATGCAACTTCACACAAGCAGTTTGCTGCTGGCCAATACTTCATAACCCTGTCAATGGGTAACCAGCGTAAACCATATTTCTATTAGCATTGTCAATATTCTTATGATAACATAATAAATACAATAACTAATGCCATCAATACTTGTTACTATTATTGTAGAAATTACAAATGGTTATCAAATTGAAATCAACCCACTTTATGGCTAAAAAATAAATATATATACATATAATATCACAGAGTTGAAAAATCATGTTGCAAACATTACACTAAGGATACGTACCATGCCATTGTTACCAGATTACCAAACCATTGGTGGGCGAGCTCATGGGCAATTACAACAGTAACTCTCTGCTGGGCTCGAGATGACGTGTGATTGGGGTCAAACATAAGTGCAGTTTCACGATAAGTGATCAGCCCCCAGTTTTCCATAGCACCAGCTCCAAAGTCAGGGATCGCAATCAAGTCTGCAAATTCAGTGAATCATTTTTTTTTTTTTTTTTTCCTTAAACAATATTTGTCTCATACACCTTTACCTAAATTCATTTCATACAACTTTTTATAATTTCTATAAATATTTGACTATTTTCCTTTAATGTAAATCCTCCCATATGACTGTTTGACAAATATATATCTACATTCACAAATATTACATATATCTATACACATCATTATCTTATGCAAATCTAACAATTTTTACTTGATAAGTAACATGATACTTATCAACATATCTTCAATTTCCTTACAATATAATAAAAAGAGCTTCTATTACATCCTAACCCTGATGTCAAATAGAAAATCACAGCCAAGAGGAGCAAAGATAACTCAAGTGTATTCCGAGACCAGAAAGCTACCTTGTTTGGGGAGAGGATATGGAACCCCAAAGAAAGTCTCATAGAAGTCAAGGATCTGCGTGGCCATTCGCAGGGCATAGCTGGCTTGGCTTATCATCATAGGAGGAGCATAGACCGAGACACTAACATTGTTGCTTGTTTTGTTGGTCACGTGGTCGTAATCGCACACTACAAAGGCTACTAGGTATGTGCTCATTTCCACACTCTCTTGGAATTGGTCATGGATCTGGAATATTAAAAAGAGTGATAAATTTACATATTTGGAGGTAAAAATATAGGTAGAATAAAGTTCACATAAATGGACATAATTCTATGCATAATACATGTTTGGAAATGATAATGCCAAGTACAATAAAATACATATAAATATACTTTCATATGTTCTGAATAATACTTTATTTAGAAGTGATATAATAATAATAATAATAATAATAATGATAATAATAATAGTAATAATAATGATAACAATAATAGTAATAATAATGATAATAACAATAACAATAATAATAATAATAAAAAAAATAACAATAATAAAAACAGCAAATAATGACAGTAATAAAATAATAATAATCAAATACCAAAACCTTAGACAAAATATGAACACTTACCAATTCTGAATCCTCTGCTTTGACCGACGTCTGCAGCGGCATGTTGAAAAGGGTAAATTGGTGGGGTTCTCGGTAGATACCCAGGTGGAACTTGGCTTTCAACTGCGGCTCGTCGAAGCAGGGAAAGGCTGCACGTGCTGCCGTGGGTTCAAAGTGAGTGGTAGCGATATACCTGGAGATTATGCAAAATTCAATAGACTTAAAGGTTTAGGTAGGTGAGGAGGAAAATATTCATTTGCAGAAGTAATTAGAGGTCTCATTTATTTCATGCCTATTTTTCTTCATGACGTCTGTGAGTATAGAGAGATAATGTCTTACTGTGCAGTGGGAATGAATTCTGTCATCACACATACTAAATATTCATCAACTATATTGGCCTTCTCACTTCTAAGAATATAAATACTTTTCACTAAGCACCCCTATACAAAATCAATACAGTTCTCACTCTTCTGTATTTCATAACCACCAATCCTTAGCAAAATAATCATCATACAATGCTGTAAAAATTCAAAGTAATTTATAAAAACTACCTCTTCTCTCCACTCGCTGTTTTGTAGGACGACAGGTAAAATCCTTCAAGGCCCTCCTTCAGTGTGAATTCATAACTTAACCTCAGTGTGTAGTTGCTTCCTCGGCGTAAAATCTCATCTAGCTTGAGATATAGCTGCATGAAGGTTATGCATTAATTAATACATTCTGAATATTAGTATTTTTCATGAAATTTTTTATACACAGAAAGAGGGAATATAAAGCATGCCTCAGCCTTCCTCAAGACTTTATTCAATTTCACAGAAATCTCTGGATTTGTTTTGTTGCTTTCCCTGCTTCAAAAATTTTTTCACATTCATAATCATATATATTTCACCTGTTGGTGGGCGGGGTACTCAAGGAACTTGTTGATACCAATTGGCTTTTCATATTTGTTGTGGAGCTTATATGATGTTACATTCAGTTCATGGCCATGGATGACTATCTGTTGTGTCTCTTCTATTGCAGTTAACTTGATGGTTAATTCACCTAATGTAGAAACAGTTAATGGGATATTATCAAAGTCCTGTACTGCAAGAGCAGCCTATAACAAAATAATATAAATCCCCCTTTTATTCAAAGGAAGGAACCAAAATCTTCCAATTTACATTGATAAAAAAAAAATAAATCACCCACTTCACCTTCAGCCAGTATTAGCCTGAATCTCACCTTTGACATATCTACTAGTTAAATTAGGATGGAGGCTAAGGTCATAGTGTAAGGGTCTAACGTGTGTGGGTAATCGAACACTCGTCCAGGGGAACAGCTCTCCATTGGTGGCAGTAGGGGGTGTTGTAGGGGGAGAGCTTGTTGGCCGGATGCTTTGGCCTGGTAGCGGCTCTCCTGTGTAGGTAGCCTCTGGGCATCCTGGGTCATGAGAAAATTGGAAGTTTGTTGTATGGTTTGGAAATATTTATTTATAACAAGGAAGTTAACTCTCATATGAAAAAATACAAACCACAAAGTACCAAATTTATACCTGGCTTAGTGAAGGCTACAATGAGGGCGACAGCGATGATGGCAACGAACCCGAGGGTGACGACGCAGCAAGCCCGTTTCTGGGAGCACACCATCACGGCCCCGGGCTCGTACATAGCACGTTTGTTAACCATGAAGCCGCTTTCATTGGGCGATCCTGCAAAGATTGACTTCAATAAGCTACCATCACACTTTGCTATTACTTGGCTTCCACTGCTTTACAGTAGACTATGCTGCACTCCATGTCAACCAAAGGAGGCTGTGTTTAATTATGCTGGTTAATGGTTTCCTTGTGATATTCTACCATCTGAGTTTGTATCCTGGGAATAACAGTTGGTTAGAATATGAACTAGTGCTATTTAATGTGAAAATAGAACCTTAGTCCTTCTTTGTTAGGATTCCAAACCATGACAAAGAATTATTTAATTTCAATTTAAATTTCAAAGAAAATCAGCAATGTCTGTTTTCATCTGTAGGAGACTAGTTTTTATTACTCTGAAAGGATATCCACATGTTTTGAGTGTCTGTTTGTGATCGAAACTGACTAATAACCCTTATTGGAAGAATATTTAATCTAAAAGCATACAACACCCAAAGACTATGTATATATATATATATATCTATAGACATATCTATCTGTCAGGGAAAAATAAAGAGGCAGCAGAATGGGAAAAGG